ACTACCTCCAGTTTTTAATATAAGATATACTTAACTAATTTAGATAGATTAAAAAAATAATTAAATTATTTATTTATTAAAAATATATGTTACTTTTTCTAAAATACCCTTTTAAATCATTTGGATTGAAATAACTCTTTGATGCAAACTTTCTTTAACAAATTTAATCAATAGGGTTAGTTTGGTTAAATAAGAGGGACAAATTAAATGGGGACTTTATATTTGTGACCAAAGTCAAATAGGAGGGAAGGAAATATTAGATATAAAATAAAAGGTAACTAAATATGTTAGGATGCCTCAAAGATGATCTCAAGTCTCATTCCGCTTCGAATTTTCTTAGTTTGAGCTTGTTTTATTTCAAAATCATTAGCATTGAGATAAAATGATTGGGATAAGTATAGAATGAAAGCCAAATATCAAGTATGAAAGCAATTTACCTCCTCACTCCTTTCTTGAGGAATATTGAGTATGAAAACCAAATAAAAGGGAAAGAAATACTACTTCCAGTCCTTAATATAAGACCCTATTTGATTTTTATTTTGATCCTAAATATAAGACCTCAATCTACTTTGTTTCTTATATTTATACTTTTTTTTCAAAGTAACCTTTCTAATAATGATAGTTCTAGTCAATACACTTGATTAGTAAGGATATTTTAGGAAAGACAACACTTATGTAGAACAAATAACTAACTCAACTTACTTTTTTAATCTTTTCAAATTAGTCAACTGACTCTTATAATTAAGACTAAAAGTAGTATTAGGTATATAACAAAAGGTAACTAAATATGTTAGGATTCCTCAAAGGTGATCCCAAGTCTCATTTTGTTTCGAATTTTTTCAGGTTGAGCCTGCCTTGTTTTAAAATGTGTTGAGATGAAATAATTGGGATGAGTATAGGATAAACACTTTTAAAATGATGTCACTGTAAAGCCTAGTCCTTAAAATGATTGTCTTATTTTGGGCTTTTCTTATTATAAATATGTTTTGTTAGTAAAATTTATTTTTCAAGTCCATCACCGCGCCAAACGTGTATAGTTCTTCTTCCACTTCCAATTCAACAAAGGGCCCGTATGGATTGACGGTAAAAAATGTGGCTTATTTTTCACTGAGCTTTTAAAAATTTAAAATTAGGTAAAAGTTAGATTGAGTAATTTGACGTATATTTGGATTGGCTTTTATAAATAAGTAAGGTTATAAAAGTTGAAGTTGTTTGGATCATCATTGGAAAAGCAAGATTAGTTGTAAAATGAATGAAAATGGCATAAATTTATTAAATAATACTACTTCTAATCCTTAATACAAGACCTAGTTGTATGTTTAATTTTGTTTTAAATATAAGATCCCGATCCATATCTCCTATATTTATCCATTTTAACCTAGGTAATCCCTATGATGATTGCACATGTTAAAGGGTTTCTATTAATGAATAGTGCAATCCATATTATTAACAATAATATTTTTAGGAAGAAAATACTAATTTATTATAAATAATTAACTTGATTAATTTTTTTAATATCTGTAAATTAGTTATCTAGTTCTTATATTAGGGATTAGATTATCCATTTATAATGTGAAAAGACCTAGATGCCCTTGGCTGGAAAAATCCATCACCAACTCAAATAGCTAGCCACCACAGAAACATCTATAATCCTTCATTTTTGCACAAATAACAAGCATCATTGTTCGATAATTACCCAAATAAAAAGAAAAGGAACAAATTGAGAAGCAAATGTAGCACATCGACAAAGAAGGGAAATAAAGAGATATTATTCTGAAATGAAATGAATCAATCAGATCTGAAGCAAAGTTAATAGATCAGAAAAAAAAAAGAAGTAGAGTTGTGATGTCGTTACAAGAATTGACAACTATGTCATAAGTGTTGGAAAAAAATTAATTTAAAAACTTGATAAACACGTGATAAATGATGTTAATGGAATTGTAAGTCTCATTAAAAAAAAAAAGAGTTGTCAATCATGTTATAAATGTTGAAAAAATTATATAAGATTAGGCACTCACTAATTTCTTTAAGTTCAAAAGCTTATCATATAAAATTGTTAATTACATTAATAAAGTTGCAAATATTGTTACAAGAGTTAAAAATCATGTTATAAGTACTAAAAAGATCTCTTTAAAACTTGAAAAATACATGGTAAGCGAGGTTAATGAAGTAGTGATTATCATTGTCAAAATTGTCAATTACGTCATGAATGTTGAGAAACTAAAAAGAAAAAAAATTGCCATTTTTAAAAATAAAAAGCAACATTATTTTCAATTTAGTGTCCATTTGGATTAGCAGTAAATAACTTTGATTTTAGATTATTGTGAACTTTATAAGTAATACTGATTATAAGTGATATTGATTAATCATGATTTCTATTTAGATTTTTTTTATAAATAACTTTAAGAATTGTGACTATATTTAGTTTTTATTTATTAAAATCACTTATAAGGTGTATAATTACCAAAAAAACATGAATTTAATAAATATTACTCCTCCGGTCCTTAATATAGGACCCAATTGTTAAATTAGTTTTGGTCCTAAATATAAGATCCATTTCTCATATTTATCAATTTTCTTTAAATTACCCCTATAGATACTCCCTCAACTATAATCAAGTAGAAGAAGGAGATGGGGTATTAAAAAAATGATTATGGTGTTTTAGGAAAAATGTGTCACATTTTTTATAATTAACTAAGTTACCTAACATTGTTAATTTAATCAAATTAGTTAAATGGGTCTTATATTAAGGACCGGAGGAGTATTAAATATAATCATCTGGGGAGAGATTTTCAAAAGAGTATGGAAAGATGGATTGGAGAAAATTCAGTTAATAAAAATTGATCGAGATTTTTTAAATGCATAAACTACTCCTTGATGCTTATCCTAAAAGTGTGGAGGAAGAGTGAAATTATGATCATCAGTATTTTATAAAAATTATCCAAACAAGATAAACAAGTTTCTTAATCACTTATTTAAATTCAAACAGATTTATTTGAGCTCTCACCGCTTAACCGGCATTACACTTAGTTATCATGACAGATTCAGAATTTCTCAAATTCAAGATGTTTTTATGGGGTCTTTGAAGTTCAACTATCGTTTTTTACTGGGAATTTTTCCAATAAACACACTACTTTAATACTTTTTCGGTTTTTAATATAAGATTTGTTTAACTAATTTGATTAGATTAAAGAAGTTAGGTAAGCTAGTTAATGTTAGCTTAAAAAAATATTTAGATTATATAATGAGTTTCATGGATTAGCGTTTGTGATTATATTAAAAAGTTAATCCAAGTAGCTTGATTTCTTTGAAATTAATTTGAGTGTTGACTATTTCATGTCCAGCTTATCAAAATATTTTTTAAATTATGTTAAACAACCCAACTTCAAATATACTTAAATTGTTTTCATATAATTAAAGAGACGAACAAAGGTTTTAAACAATTTAAATTATTTGAATTTATTGTTTTCAATTAGGATAATCTAAACTCTTGACGCTTAGGTGTTATCTAACAAATCATTATCGTGGGGCATCCCATAAGTTTGGAACTAGACACAACCACCAACCCATTTAAAACTTTTTATGCTCATGTGGTCAACACAACAACCCATTCTTTGGCGCGACCCAACATTTGAGTCAGTCCTTTTGCTCTGCAGCTTCTGTGGCCCTAACCCCATAACAAACATTTGTCAGGGGTGAGTGTTTGTTCTTGCTTTGAGAAGCACAGCTTTTTTTTTTTCCATACTTAGTAAAATTACATATCCACGCATCATTATGGTTATTAATATAAGTAAATTATAACATATTCTTATATACCAAGAAATGTATTAAATAGACAAATTTTCTCAATTTCATTCTTCTTAAAGATTTCTCCCTTTTTACATACAAATCATTCTCATATCTCTTTATTTTTTCTTTTACCCAAGTAACATTAAATAAAGGTAACATTGAAAAATAAGTACTCCTTTTTTACAATTGATGTTGGCACTATGTATAATACATATTTTACATGTTTATTAGTTTTTTTAAATTAATCTTATTAATATTTTCTCAACAATAATTAAGTAGGAGATGGAGGGAGGAAATTAAAAAAATGATTAATGTGTTTTTTAAAAAGATTCATATTAACTAATTTGACTAACATAACTTATTCAAATTAATTAATTATATCTTATATTAAAGATCAGAAGATTATTAAGTACTACCTGCAGTCCTAATTATAAGAGTCAGTTGACTAATTTGAGGAGAATAAGAAAGTAAGTTGAGTTAGTTATTTATCCTAAATAGGTGTTGTCTTTCTTAAAATATCCTTATCAATCAAGTGTATTAACTAGAACTATCATTGTTAAAAGGGTTACTTTGAAAAAAATATATAAATATAAGAGACAAAGTGGATTGGAGTCTTATATTTAGGATCAAAATAAAAGTCAAATAAGATCTTATATTAAGGACCGGAGGTAGTATTTTGCAAGTGAATCATAGTTAAGGTGAAAACTTTTCCTTACGAATAATTTATATTTAGAATTGGGGCAGTGTAACTTGGAGCCTGAACCATGTAAGTGAGAATCTGCAAGTTTGTAATTATCCTTTTAACAAAAAGTATTTACCTCATGCCCACAAAAATATGACGTCAATCAAAGATTATGTTTGTTTGGTTTAAAAAAAAAATCAGGGATTATGTTTGACGCATAAAATATAAAAGCTAATGTTTTCTATAAATTAGAAAACTTAACAAAAAACATATTCACAGAGGAGTTAACGACAAGCGTAATTAAAAACCCTACATGCTGGTCAAAAAATAAAAAATAAAAACCCTACATACTTACCACGAAACATCCCTAAACTTTTTTTATTATAATATTTTCTCCGCCTCCCCACACACGTCATTCGTTCGCATGATCACATCCATTCATCATACCCAGCAGGGCTTGAGTCATCAATTAAACGTCCTACGCTTAACTACCTCCTTTCGATAAACTATTGATAATTGACAGCGAAAAGATCAAATGCGTCAACCTGCTCGAGTCGCACGAAGAGCCATCGATTCACGCCGGCCGTTGAAGATTTTAGTTTCGGTAAGTTTCCCAGACATGTTCTCTGGGCTTTGATCATCTTTATCCAACTATATGTTTTCATCCCCTCTGCCTGCCACGTCCCGAGCTTCACACTCGTCAATCCCAAGAAATTTCGGTCCTCATAATTTGCAAAATCTAGGGTTTCTGTTGCGGCATTTCGCCTGCTATGGACCTTCCGTTGCTGAGGAAGGGTTTAAATTTCTCTCGGCGAAACAAAAACTGGCTTATTTTACTTGCTGTTTTTGGGGCCTCCGGCTATGGAGCTTACAGGGTCTATCACTTGCCCTCTGTTTCGAGGAGGAGGAAACGGTTTATGAAGCTCCTGGGAGCCCTCATTTCTCTTGCTGAAATGGTTTCCGATTCTGCTGACACGATTGCCATTGTCTCCAGGGACATGAAGGAATACTTGAGTTCTGATTCCAATGAAATTCCTAATAGTTTGAAGCAAATTTCGAAAATTGCAAGATCGGAGGAGTTCTCTGCATCATTGTCTAGAGTTACAGAGGCATTACTTGCTGGGATTCTGCGTGGATATGAGTCCCACAAGAGAAATGATCCTAACTCGGAGATGGCTCCGGCCGCTTCCACCTTTTCGGATAGGGTATTGGAAAGACTTTTCTCCAAGGCTGGAACTGGTTTTGTCTCTGTTGTCGTAGGTAGCTTTGCGCGGAATCTGGTTTTGGGCTTTTACTCTCATGGCGGATCGATCGATAACTACAATGAAGGGGCTTTGTCGACGTCGTCGGATGTACCTGGATGGGTTAATGTGATTTGCAATGACAAATGTCGCCAGGTGCTAGGAGATTGCGTACAAATCTTTGTAAGCACTGCTGTTACCGTTTTTCTTGACAAGACAATGGATGTCAATACTTATGATGAATTTTTCACTGGACTGACCAATCCGAAGCACCAGGAGAAGGTCAGGGACATTCTGGTTTCTCTATGTAACGGTGCCGTGGAAACATTTGTTAGAACATCTCACGAAGTATTGACAAATCCAAGTGTAAATTCAAATCCATGTTCGCCCTCGTCTTCAGTTGTTCATGTGAATGAATATCCGGCTGCAACAGAAGACGGATGCTTGAAGCGAGAAGCATATTTTCGGCAAATTAGCTTGGAAGCTCTATTAACGGAGTTCAGGATAATACTTGGCTTGAACAGATCTCATCAACGCTATTAGTGCCAGCGAACCGAAAATTTGTGCTTGATGTGACAGGGAGAGTGACATTCGAAACGGTTAGATCGTTCATGGAGTTTCTGTTATGGAGGATAACAGATTGCACGAAAAGAAGTCTGAGTAAAGTTCATGACGAGACCGTTGGCAAAGGATGGCGCGTGTCAGATATGTTGGCGCCAAATCATCCGTTATTCTTACAATGTCTTGCAATGTATTTACATATTCTTGGTGGTAGTAGGATTGCCGTGCCTGCCTAGTTTGATGATTATTTCAAACCCATAAAGCATAGTACTTTTAGAACCTAGGGACAGCAAAAATTTGATGTTAAACGCCTATATTCTTTTCAAGTATTATAAATAGAGTTAATATGGTGTCAAAGATTGGCTATAATGTTTAGCTGTCTTCTTTACCATACTAAAAATCTGAAATGGTTTGGTGCTCCTAATGTTTAACCTGATGCATGTATGCAACAATTATTGTTGAATTCAATGTCTATTTGTACAAAAGTGCCAATCTCTGTAAAGTGTTCAGGGAAGACAAAAGATAACTAAGCAAGCAGCCCTATAGTTGTAAGTTTATTGACAATCCAGTGTTATAGCTTGTGTATAAAAATGGTTGTATTACCCTACAGAAGTTTATGAACGCAAGTCAACCAATTTACCTTGCCTCTTGATATTTCCTTTCTTTGATTTTTTCCCTCCAGTCATACAGCTTAGGGAACGATTGATTATGTGGCTTTTCTTTCTCTTAGTTTTGGATTCCCTAACACTGTTATCGTATGTAAGTGCCAAGTGGGACTCTTCCTATATCTTGCATCTTTGAAGAGTTTGCCTTTCTCTCAGGTTTGAGAATGAATCCATTCTTCTGTTGGCTGTTCGTGGTTTTATACAAATAGACAGAACTCCCATTCCAATAACTTTCACCGAGAATTCCTTCACCTTTGATTCTCTGTATGCACAGATATGTGTGGTTCACTCTGCAAAACATAGTCCTGTGGTTACTGAATACAATGTTAGCGGAAAAAAACATGTGCACCTGAAGGCACAATCTTTGACAACTTGGGAATACAGGGTGATATTTTTTATGATTTTCAGATTATAGTATTCTTGCACGAGCAGAACACCCGCCTAAATTCTCAAAGACATCTCACTAGCTAATTTGAAGGAAAGGGATCAAGGGACCTGAGGCCATCCCTAAAATCTATGCATTGATGATAGTTTGGTACCATTTGGTACGAAGCATTGAAAATGAGGGACTGGGAT